CATTAGCACTATGTATGATAGCTGACAGCTTTGCACCCGGCACGCTGACGTGGGAAGGGGCATGCGCTGAGGGTCGGCCGCAGGAGCTCTGGTCGTCTGCGCTCTTCCCAGGCTGACCCTAGGAGGGGAGCTACTAGCTTATTGAAAGGCGCCGACTATACAGCTTCAGTCGTGCCGCCACATGGCTCTCTCAGCTATGATAGCACCAAAAAATCTACAAGCGTTCGGTGTGGAGCTCTGTTCATCCTACTTTCAGTTTGATGTACGTGCCACATAAGTCATGGTACAGCTGGGTGCTTGAATCGCTGGCAAATGGAGTTTACGCGTTCGGTTTCCTTTTCATGCTTCCTCAGTTGTTTGTGAATTATAAGCTGAAGAGTGTGGCTCATCTACCGTGGAGAGCATTCACTTATAAGGTACCGTCAAAAGTTATCGAATTGAATGCGTTTTTCTTTATTTTTGTTCTCCCGTACATATCCTTCACTAATTTCCGCCGATTTCATTCAGGCGTTCAATACCTTCATCGATGATGTCTTTGCCTTTATCATAGTAATGCCGACTTCTCATCGACTTGCCTGCTTTCGGTAGGTGGCGTTTGTAGAACCCCCATTTAGGAGTCTGATGTTGATAGTCCATTTTCAGAGACGATATCGTGTTCCTGATCTACCTTTACCAGCGTTATCTTTATCCTGTCGATTATTCACGGATTAATGAATTTGGCCAAAAAGGCGACGAGCTTGCCAAAGATGAAAAGAAGGCTGATGAGCCCATTGCTCAGGCAACCAAGTCCATCGATGCAGTACCCGCTGGCTCTTCACCAGAAACAGTCCGGCCAAGGAAAAAGCTGTCGAAGAAAATTGACTAATCTTATGGGGTCGTTTTGGGTTTCATTACCTAAGATCTGTGATTTCTCTTTACTTTTGTGCGATCGACCGGAACGGGGTTGAGAACAAGCTATATTATTGAAAAAGGAATTAAAAATTGTCAGGTAACTTTTTTCTTGGAATTCTTGATTCCGCAGCTCTATCTTAGCTTTTCCTGTCAGGGCACGTCCTGTCGTTGGGGGACCTTTCTGCAAAATACGAGCAAAGTACGACTCTCCCTGAAAGTTTTCTCTGATACGACCTTTCCCCAAAGTCTTCCATTTTTTTCCATTTTCCTACTAAAAACTCGGGTTTGTTTCTGTTGAGTGGGAAGGGTAGAGGTATGAGCACGTGAGACAGTGAAATGCAGAGAGAAGCCAGATTCAAAAACCTTTTTTCCAAAACCAAATACGACCCTCTTTCCTTCAGCTACCAAATACGATCCCTCCTCGCTGTGGATCTCTATCCTACAACGTGCCCTATGTACCACCCCAATCTCTAGTTGTGTTTTGTCCTGTTGTATAGTGAGATCAAGGATTTTGTGCTGAAAATATTTGATTTGGTTCAATGGTGGTTGTTTCTTGTGAAAATGGCATTGCTGAAATATTGATGACTACTAAAGAATTAATTTATTGATTATAAGTCATGTTGTTGTCGAAATAAATTGTTTGTTTGTCTTCCATCCACTCCAATAAAAGCAACTTGTTTTCTGTGACATGATTTAAAGACAGGTTGAAGCGGGAAGCGGTCTCGGGAACCAAAGAGAAGTGCAAGACGCGTTGCCTTTAACTTCATTCGGAATAGCAGGGTACG